TGCTGCTGCTGCTGCTGCTGCTGCTCCTGCTCCTGGTGGTGGTGCTGCTGGTGGTGCTGCTGGTGGTGCTGTTGGTGCTGCTGGTGCTGTTGTTGGTGGGGAGTCTTGCCTTTCTGCTGCTGTTGCTGCTGTTGCTGCTGCTGTTGCTGCTGTTGCTGCTGCTGTTGCTGCTGCTATTGGTGCTGCCAGCAGCCCGTGTCTTCTTAGCTCATCTACCCACCACCAGCTGTTAGAGGAGCAGGATGTTGCTTCTGCTGCTGTTGCTGCTGCTGCTGCTGCTGCTGGTGCAGCAGGTAGCTGCAGCAGCAGATCCTTACACCTACTCAGCTGCTGCAGCAGCTTCCCCTCTCCTTGCTGCTGCGAAGATTCATAAGAAGCCCAACGGTAATAACGAAGGGGAGGCTGTACCTCTCCTTCTCCTGCCAGCAGCATTGCTGCTGCTGTTGCTGCTGCTGCTGCTGCTGTTGTTAGTCCTGTAGAGGGGCTTCGAGCATCACCAGCAGCAGCAGCAGCAGCAGCAGCAGCAGCAGCAGCAGCAGGAGGGCCCTCTGTGGTGTCTCCAATGGGCCCAATCTCCATCCTGTCTCCTTCTAGTTCTGCTACGGTAACACGAGGGAAATATTCAGGGCAAAGCAGCAGCAGAGGCCCCTGCTTGCTGCTGTTGCTGCTGCTGCTGCTGCTGCTGCTATTGCTGCTGCTGCTGCTGCTGTTGTTGCTACTGCAGCTGCTGCTGCAGCTGCTGACATAGTTGCTGTCAAGCCCTTTCCCGTGGACTGCTGCTCCGTCAGCAGCAGCAGCACGTCCACCATCAGGAGGAGCAGCACATCGACCATCAGGAGCAGCAGGAGGAGGAGCAGCAGGAGGAGCAGCAGGAGCAGCAGCAGGAGCAGCAGCAAGAATAAATACTCTCCCTATAAGATAAGAAAGAGGGAATTCAATTTTAATTGTTTTTTTTTCCTCTATAAAAATTATTCGCAATAATTTATCGTCACCTAGTCGCCACTCTACCCATACAGGTGCAGCAGCAGCAGCAGCAGCAGCAGCAGCAGCAGCAGCAGCAGCAGCAGCAGCAGCAGCAGCTGTAGGAGAATAATTTGATGCTCGTGTTGCTGGTATTGTTTTTGCTGTTCTTGTTGCTGTTGGTTGTGCTGCTGGTTTTCTTCGTTTTGCTGCTGCTGCTCTTGCTGCTGCTGCTCCTCTTGCTGCTGCTGCTGCTTTTGCTGCTGCTGTTGCTGCTGTTGCTGCTGTTGCTGCTGTTGCTGCTGTTGCTGCTGTTGCTGCTGTTGCTGTTGCTGCTGCTGCTTCGAAAGCAATGGCCCCACAGTCTGCACATCTCCTCCATGCGTACCCTACCTTAAGGGGGCCCCCCTTCATCAATAAGAGGGGCCCCCTTTGTCTAAATATATTTGTTTCCTCTATTAATAAAGGTAATTCATTAAATATAAGGGGGGCCCCCCTTAATAAATTACTGTACCCTTTTATATCCTTATACCATACAACTCCTAATAGGCTACCTACGGGGGGGCCCCCGGGCCCCCGACGAGCCGGGGGCCCCCTCTTAGCCGGAGAGGGATGGGGGGGGATCCCCTTATTATTTAAGAGGGGGGCCCCCTTGGTAATAGGTGTTGGGGGGCCCCCCTTTAATAAAGAAATATATTTATGCTTATTTATATATAAAGAATAAATAGGACCAAAGGAAGAAAAGATTGGCAGCAAAGAAGCTGCAGATACACCTGAATGCATGCAGCGAAGAATTAAGGGAGAAGGTATGCAGCAGCAGCAGCAATTGCTGCTGCTGCTTAATACTAAACCCCCGCTGCAGCGCAAACGGCTGCAAAGGTTGCCCCTAATGCATGCACTGCTGCCATTGCTGCCGATTCTGCTGCTGCTGCTGCTGCTGCTGTTCGTCGAACAGCAGCAGCAGCAGCAGCAATTGCAAGAGGAGGACAATGGACGAGTTGTGGGTAGGGAAGTCCTAACACCTTCTGCTGCTGCTGCTGCTGCTGCTGTTGCTGTTGCTGCTGTTGCTGCTCCTGTTGCTCCTGCAGTTGTTGCTGGTGCAGTTGCTGCACCTATTGCTGCTGATGCTGCCATTGCTGTGTCTTGCTTGGGCGAAGACATTGCAGGTCCTTGCTCTTCTGCTGCTGCTGCTGCTGTACCTGTTGCTGTTGCTGCTGCTGCTATAGCTGCGACTATCGCTGCTGCTGCAGCAGTTGCCACTGCTGTGTGTCTTACGCTTCTGTCTAAGACACAGCAGCAGCTAATATCTCTCTCAACACTGAGAAAGCAGAAGCAGCAGCAGCAGCGGCAGCAGCAGCAGGAGCAGTAGAAGTGACAGCAGCAGTAGCAGCAGCAGCAGCAGCAGCGAGACGCGTCGAGTCTTCGGCAGCAGTTACTTGAATTCTTCCTTCTTTTTATTTTATTAAATAAATATTATTTATTTAATTAATTATAATTAAATAAAATAAATTAATAAATATAATAAAATGGCAAAATAAAT